CTAGCACCTTAGAATTCCTAGCCTATATAAAGTCTCTAGGTAATAGCTGTTAGAACCTATAGACATAGTTAGAGTTGTTAGTAATATAATAGGTAGAACCTAAGTTAAGTATAAATAACTTCTATAGTAGATAGTTAGTAGTATCCTGTTAGTTTACTATACTAAGCACTACTTTAATATTAGTAATTTCTTAGCCTTCTAGTTAATTATCTAGGATTTCTAGGGTAGGGGTATATAAGTGCTTTACTACTAGTATTCTTAATCTACTCTTGCTTTATGTGTAAAGTAGCCCTTAAAAGGTAATATCTTTCTTACACTTAAACTTAATAAGTTTAGAAATAATCTTATTTAGTTTCTACTACTTAGGAGCTCTGTCTTAATCAATATAGTAGCAATCCTATATAGAGTGGCGTTATCTATATATAGGGCATTTTGCTCCCCTAGTAGAAGTAGGCTCTTAATCTAAAGGCTGCTTAAGCATAGTAGTTTTCCTACCTACTATACATTAATATTAAGGTCTGCCCTAGTTAGATAGTATGCTTATAGCATGTTAGGTGTCCCCTTTATAGCTCTAGGAGGCTACACCCCCTTTAGTAAGAAACACTATATTATTAGCTATAAAGGCCTTATACTACCCTAATCTAAGGGGATAATTTATTATTATATACTCTTAGTAGTGTTTTATTATCTCCTTCTAACTTATACTAGATTTAAAGTATCTACTATCTTAAAAGCTTGTAGCCTATATAGGCGTGACCCTATTTATAGCTGTTAGGAAGTCCTTTGTTATTATATTTAATTACAATAATTTAGTAACTTTATACGTCTCTGCTTCTATAGCTACCTAGTTATACTTAGCTAGCTAGGTATCCTATTATAACATGCTTCTTATTAGCTTAAGTGCTAAGAGGTAGGCTGGCGGAATGGGTATACTCCAACGTCCTTCGTGTGTACCCCCCAAAACTTTGTCAATAATACATGGATTCTAGCGAAATAGGGCTTAAAAGAAAGAGAAAAACTACCTCTACATTTCTGTAGTAGAGGG